CCACCGTGCTTCACAGTGGGGTAGGTGTGTTTGTGATGATGTGCACAAAATGTAATTTGAACATTCAGCTTCCTGTTTAGCATTTAACATCAACAGTTGTGCTCAGGTGTGTAAGTCATAACTTATATGATTCCAGTTGTGTTGTCAGTATGTGTTATTACTGTTTATTTGCATATTTAAATGCTAAACAAGGTCTCGGAAGCAACAACTCCTCTGAAGAACACCATGAGATGCAGCTGAGAGCTTCAGAAACAAGTAAGTTGATTCTTCCGTGGATATTTTTTGGTTGTTCGTTTAGTTGAAAACACGTTGAACTGTAGCTGACGCGTTCCAGCAGATTCACCATCGATCATCTGCAGTTTGTTTCAGCTAATGAACATGAGTCACGTTGCAGGAGTGGACTGACCGTCTGGCACACCGGGCACTGTCCCGGTGGGCCGGTGTCTAGTGGGGGCTGGTCAGCGTTGTTGGCCGGCCAGTTATGTGACCTATTGTCCAGTTGTGTGGCTGACTGGCCACCGCAGCCCATCAACACAGGTCATAGGGTTAACTGTCAGTCAGGGCCTGTCAATCACCCAGCTGCTGAATGGGCGGGACTTGCAGAGTGAGCCCAGGTGAGGTGAGGAGTCTGACATGGAGAAACGCCCCAGTGGCGCTGAAAAGCAAAGAATGAACTTAATGAAAGCACAGGAAGCAGAGGCCTCCAAACGCACCAAAGTAACTCAGCTGTTTGGTCCAGCAGCAGCAGCATCTGATAGCAGAGGGCAGCCCAGGCCTGGTCCTGGTCCTGGTCCTGGTCCTGGTCCTGATCCTGATCCTGATCCTGATCCTGGTCCTGGTCCTGGTCCTGGTCCTGGTCCTGATCCTGGTCCTGGTCCTGGTCCTGGCCCCCCTGGCTTCAGGCTGCTGACTGCAACGTCAACAGCAGCAGGAGCAAGAGGAGCTGGAGACACAACAGGTGATGGACAGTGTGCCTGTGGAGGTGCTGGCAGGACAGATCTGTCAGCAGCGACGCTAGCTGACAGAGAGCTACATGTTAAAGACACACTCACGTGTTTGCATGCAGACACACTACGCATGTGTCACTGTGCCTGTTAATGTCATGGAGCTAACATGCCTGTTGCTATGCTAGGCCATGTGCAGTTTGGGAGTCACTGAGCCGTGCTGAACATATCTGTTAGCAGTCATGTCTCTGCTGCTGCTGATGCTGTCAGTCTCAAATATCTCATTATAAATATATTCATGATCTTATCTGTAGATACACACTCACTGGCCACTGCTAGTTTTTGTTGCCATTGTTCTGGATCATTGTGATCAGTGTGTATTATTGAGGCCATCGTGGATGCTGGGGTGACTTGAGTGCATTATATTGAGCTGTGTGTTCCTTATACCTCTAATTCATTAACATACATTAATGGGGACAAAACATTAGGAACACTTTTCAATATATTGCTCTCCAGTGTGCCGCCACCACCCATTACAACCTCAGTAATAAACTACAAGTAAAACTACAACGTAAACGCAACCTGAACATGTAAAGCTTTGTTCATGTGGGATGTAGGGCAGAGCTGACGTGTTGGACTGCATTAGACTGGACAGGTGTACCTGGACAGGTGTACCTGGACAGGTGTACCTGGACAGGTGTACCTAATGAAGTGGTCAGTGAGGGTATCTGTATAGAGCCTGGCAAAAAAGTTGTAATGCTAAATCAGGTTTCTGTGTGATTCCAAAACATTGGTTTTCACTCATTTTGAGAATGGCTTCGTTTTTAATCTTTTGTATCTGAGCTATTTCCTCCTCCAGTAATACCCTCTCTTCCTGTGTCCGGCTCAGCCTGGTTCAGGGCGAGTCAGCCCAAGAACTCGAGGGAGAGAGCCGGCCCAAGACATCAAGCCAAAGCACAGAACGGCCACCACCACGCCTCGCATCAGAGCTTCGGGCCAAAGAGCCTTTTGGATTTGGTGAGTACACAACCTGTGGTCCAGTAGGTGTCACTACAGCAGTAAAAGCAGAGCACAGGTATGCAGGTCGTGTAGCTGCTCGACTGGATCGCAATTTTTTTCCAACTTGTCAACGAGTTTGTAGAGGTCTCTGAAGTCTTGTTTTGTTTTGTCAGTTTTTGTCCTTGCATTCAAAGATCAGTGCTTGATTCAGTCAGCTGATACTGTTGTGGGCCGGTCCGGTCCAGGGCTGGATTTTT